CATGCTTTCTCGGATATAATATACTCCTATACCGAAAGCGGTAAACCTGAAGTTTGATTTTGTCAGTGGCTGTGCTTGGCCCTAACCCTATTTAGGGAAGGTTCCAGCCACACTCACGAGAGTTTAGCCCCAGCCGCAGCAAGCCACCTATGCTTCAATTAACAGCCCTCTTGTAAAATCAGCTCAACCTCAAGAAACGATTTTCATATCTCGAAGCTGATGGGTTGTGGTTTCGGTGAGGACGGTGATATAACCCTCAGTTCGTTTGTTGATAACGGAATTGATGATCTTGTACTACCGTCGCTCTCTTCTACGTTTTTCAGTGGCTCATGAAGAACCTCCCGTATCTACTACATAGGGCATGTCATGATCCACGGCGTGTCCGCAGCCGCAGCCGTCACCCTGCCGGACAACTAGCTTCGGTGCTTCTTTCGATATGACCTCTTCCGACAAGCGAAAATCGGTGGAAAGCTTGGCATCTCTTTCCTCGGTTTCTTTGGCGACCCAGCCTTCTTCCTCCAGCCAGTACGATCCCGGCCGCTTACCCCAGCGATTGCGCTATAATTCGAGGCGGAGCTCGACGGCCAGCTCGATATCCGGCATAGGGAGTGCTTTGGACACTTCACTTCACCATGGATCAATAGCAGAGGCTGGACGCAATGGTTTGTTGCTCATGGTGTTGGTTGGGTGTTAAATGACAATAATGTGGCGCGTAAATGTGCTAACATTGACATTCTATATAAATAGCAATATCTACCCTCCTTCAACAACCTATTGTTCGTACAGGTCTGCTGCCACAAGCCTCTGCGCTTTCTAGCGGCTATAAACCGCCGACCACTCGAGATATCCCCCCAGTGGCTCTAACCAACATCCCACATGTGGAATCCAAGGCATTCCAACCTTATATCTCGCAGGTTGGATCCTTGTACGATGCATTGCGCCGTTCAAAGGAGAATGGTGATGAGGGCGAACCACAGCTTCGTCGAGCAAGCAGTACAACAACAATATCTGTAGATATAGACCCGTTGTTGAGTAGTCAATTGGAACGGCGACATTCTGGTCAACACACACCTTTGTCATCCGTCTCTGAATATGTGACTCCGAGGAGAAGATCCGCTGGTCAGAGAGGCCGAGGTCCAGCAATGGCCCCTCTGTCAACTATTCCTAACGTTTATTTCGATGAGAATTTCCATCTTGAAAATCCTCGGACATTTGATGTCGTTTCTGAACGATCGGAAGTTGTCCGATCTCCCCCAAAACCTTCAGATGAGAATGCTCCTAATGGGTCGTTTGAAGCACGACCGGCATTCAATAGAAAGGCTTTGGCAACAAATGCGATTCTGCAAGAAAAATTATCATGGTATCTTGATACCGTTGAAATTCACCTTATTTCCTCCATTTCTAACGCCTCAACCTCATTCTTCACAGCTCTCGGTTCCCTGCAAGCTCTCCATGGAGAAGCAAAAGCTTCAGTTGACAAAATTCAAGCCCTGCGAAGAGATCTAGCAAAACTTGATAATGACATGGCTTTGGGTGGTCTCAAGGTGGTAAATCTCCGGCGCCGGCGAGAAAACGTTAGAAAATTAGCAGACGCTGTTTGCCAACTGAAGGTAATAATAGCATGTGTATCTCATTGCGAACAAATGGTCGAAAATGGTGATATCGAAAATGCCCTGGATGAACTGGATCATGTTGAAAGACTTACAGCGGGCGAACGGACCGCCACGAAACGTGAGGATCGCGGTGGCCAGTCTCAACTTCCGGAGACGCTCATAGATCTACGTGGAATCAAAGCTTTAGAAGGTGCATCAGACGATCTGGGCCAACTAAGAAGTCGGATTGGGATTGGTTATGAGCAACGGTTCCTAGATTGCTTAATTGGAGACATCAAACGGCATGTTGAAAGTCTTCCTCCGGAACTCACATTGCTACGGCTGGGAGATGCATTTCATCGATCACGAAGGACGCATAGGAAAGCCCCCTCTAGCATACCGACTTATATGACGATCGATAATGAATTTAGATCGAGGTTAAAATCAGAGCTGGTTGGGCTTGGTCGAGCGAGATACACTACATCCGCTGCAACCTCGTACAAAAACTCCGTCTTGCGAGAAATGAAAAGTTCGATAAGAAGACATCTGCCTAGTTCAAGCGATGACGACAATGAGTCGATAATGTCCGCATCGACCCATGGGGATCGCCAGTTGAACCAACAGGAGAAGTCAACAATACTAGCGCGCAACCTCCGTGCTCTTGACCCTGAAGATGCATATGCCATGTTAACAAAAATTTACACCGGCGTTAGCGAATTCTTACGAAGATTAAGTATACAGGTCAAAGTACTTCTGGATATTACTAGTGGACTTAGCAGTCCTCCTAATACTAGTGGGGTGAGATCCCCTCTACAAAGCCCAAACCTACATTCTATAGACGCATATGTCCGGTCCGGAACGACGCCAGTGGCAGCACAGGAAGAGGTAATGGAGATCCTTGATATGTCAAGCCTTCTCGGCCAAGCTGTTGACATAGTGCAGTCACAAATGGTCAAAATATTGAAAATTCGGTCAGAGCAGACTGCTCATCTCTCGCTGGAGCAGTTTTTGAAATATTTCAGCTTGAACAAACTTTTTGCTGATGAGTGCGAAGCTATCTCTGGACGGAGCGGTTCGGCTTTAAAAAATGTCGTTGATAGCCAAATAAGGGACTTCATTTCCAATTTTGGTGATAGCAGGAAACATAGGCTAGTTCAAGTGATGGATTCCGATAGGTGGGATGCCAAAGACTTTGGTGATAAGCAAAATGCCCTTCTTTCACGAATACTCCAAGCGAGTACGCAAGACATCGATCTATGGGCTTCAACCTCAAGAGTATGGGAGTCAGATCATAGCGGCCAGGAAACAACGGCGACGCAAGATAGTCCTGAAGTAAATGGAAACGGAGTAACCGACAGCGGGAAAGATAAAGTACGAAGCGCAATAGTGGATGAGCAGAAATATATTCTGCCGCAATCTGCTCTTCTGATTTTGGAAATTATTGACGAATTCCAACATCTAATGACGGGCATCCCGAGCATGGTGCAGGACATAGCATTTAATTTCCTCGAATGCCTCAAGCTGTTCAACTCCCGCTCCTCCCAACTTATCCTTGGCGCTGGTGCCACGAGAAGTGCCGGTTTGAAGAATATCACAACGAAACACTTGGCTCTTGCTTCCCAGGCGTTAAGTTTTATCATTGCGCTTATTCCTCATGTTCGTGAATTCATCCGCAGGCATTATACCTCTACCACCACCCTGATGGCTGAGTTTGATAAAGTTAAGCGACTGTGTCAGGAACACCAGTCAGGCATCCATGAAAAGTTAGTTGATATTATGAGCTCCCGCGCCACGATTCACGTCAATGCGATGAAGAAGATTGATTGGGATGCACAGCAGGACACTGCTTCCGTCAGCCCGTACATGAAGACATTGACGAAAGAGACTGGCACACTCCAGCGAGTCCTGACAAAGCATCTACCTGAAATGACCGTGATGATGATCATGGACCCTGTTTTCAAAAGTTACAGAGATCAGTGGACAAGGGCTTTCCAGGCAGCTACTTTGAAAACTGAGGGCGGTAAACAACGGTAAGTCTGGTTCTTTCTTCGCGATTTCCCCGTCTGTTTTTTATTCATCACATAGACTCCCAAGCTAATGAAGAATATCTAGAATGGTTTCCGACGTCGAGTATTTCAAAGCTAAGATTGATAAAATCGATGGCTCCGGTGATCTAGGTAACCACCTTGTCGAAGTAGTCAAGTCCAAGTCCGTCGCGTCACCGCCCAAGCCTGATTCACCACTGCCACCAGCAGAGGCTCAGCCCGCGGAATCTTCCCCTCAAAAAGGGGATAAAAATGGAGCCCCAATTCCGGACCAGGGGTCGTGAGAGGGTTTAACCAGCCATGGCAGAGTCAACCGTATCGGGCTACAAATACTTCTTCAACTCTTTACACTAGTTGCTGTTTGGCCAGAATCCGGCTCAGAGTTTTCTGATCTTTATTTATTGGGCGGAGGAGGGAGGTTATAAGGGCCGAAGTGTGAATACCTTTATGTTGAAATTTCCCTTTGAAGTTGGGTGACTACCCTTGGTACTTAATCCCTTATTTAGCGCATGGCATTTTAGACTACCTTTTTGGAGGAGTCCTGGGGAGAGATCTGCAGGATTTCCAATCTGGCATACTGTTTTGTTGTTCTGCGAGCCCTTTTAGCGGGGTCAACCTTTGCCTTTCCAACGTTTATTTCTGCTATCACATACACCTTTTTTTAGTGGTCTCCTTCTATCTTCTACCCGTGGGATCCCAACGATTAATTACCCTTGTACCTATCGACTCATGTACAGCACTACCATATTATCTTAATCATACAAGGCCTGCTCTCTACTGGGGTGGGATATGCAACGTCATTGTGAAAATCCAGATGATTTTCATGGTTCAGAGTTTAACATGCGACTGAGCACCTTGACTGGTCCTCCATCACTATGGTATATACAGCTCGGCAGTCGCCCCATTTTTTCTGCCTGTTCATCTTATCGTCGCTTCCTTCCTTCACTCTATGAAGGTGAAGTAAGAAGTTATAATAAAGCATGTTTAATCAAAGTAAAGGTTGTTTAGGTAAAAATATATTATACATTTGTTTTGAACACCGGAGACATAGGGATTAACGGGATATAGTTAATTAATGGAGTTGACATGTAAAGGAGACGACAGCCCCCATCAAGAATTTAAGAATTTAAGTAGAAACGAAACTCTGTTTAAGAAAGAATATCCTGAGAGGGAATTAAAAAAACGTTTTCACCTATGATCCTCCTGATATCAGAAATCACAAAAGACATGGCAAAGATGAAGTTCACATCTCCCTTTCTGCATTGTCCTGCAACCAAGGGAGTGAGTGCTAACATTCTCCGCCCCTAATGAACCTCACCGTCCAAAGAAACCCCGGAACAGGCGACTGACCGGTTCCTCTTCGATGCCATCATGGATAAATTCCAAAAAGCTTGGAACGCCCTCAACCCTCAACCCTCCGTATCTCGACTGGAGGTCTAACGGGTGGACCAATGCCCCGGATAGACAATGGGGCGTCGATTTCCTCCCAAGCTGCCCGCGGCACGACTTCCGCTGCAGGACTACAAGAGCCAGAGCCGCCTCCCGCCGGAGAAACAAGGCGAAAAATCGATCAGAACTTTCCGCCTTGATCATGTATACCGCCTGTGGCAGGCCGGTGGACAGGTTTGTGACGTGTGTGCTTGTTGCTGAGCTTTATTACCGGGCCATGTCGACGATTGGGAAGAGAGATTGGTATTCCTCTTGATGATTATATTATCGAGCGTTTGGCGTTTCCTTGTCCTAACTGGATAATTGCTTTATAGCCGAAGACAGGGGACGAGGCGGGGTTGATTCTGGCGCATCTCGGAAGAAGTTGTTGGATGCGGCTAACTCTTATGTTTCGATCCAGTTCCAAGGTTTCCTCATCATCTCCATGGATTGGGGCCCATACCCATGGATTCTGCTCCGTAGTCCCCGCAATGACCTGGAGGTGCTAGAGGTTGCTAGGGCGAAGCCCACGAACTGCTTAGTGTGCTAAATAATTGCAGACAATTCACGTCAATAAGTTTCGAATTCTCAAATTTCAGTTCTAGGTTCCAATATAGAGTGTATAACATGACGGTGAGAGCTTCGGAGGCCCGATCCAGTCAGGTCCACAGCGGGGTCCACTGTTTTATCTTTAAACCATTCGGGACTGGCGGGGATCGTCCACGATTTCAAGTTGCTGGGTGGATCACAACATGTTTCTGCCCCTTTTTTGGCCCGTTAGTTGACAACATCACCCTTTTCTCGAAAGTCCTATGGAAGTATTTGCGCTTCTCATAAAACTACAGCCAGGAAATCCTTACGAACTACGTGGTGCTATAGGAAACAAGTAAGCTATCAGACAGCAACATGATAGAAAATCAAGCTGAACAAAATCCACAGGCCGCGCTGCCCGAGGAATAAGAGAGACGCCATGTAAGTCTTCTGCAGTTCATCAATTGAGCAAATAACTATATATTATATTATATGTATATACATACTGTAAGAATATTTATAATCTATACTGAAAATGCAGAATGAAGACGCAACGAAAAATATAAAAATAAAAATAAAAATAAGAAGAAACCGGCAGTTCATCTAAAACCACCTAGCCCCGAAATTCATCCAAGATCAATTGCAAACCTGAATTTAAAAGCAACTTCAGAAAAAGAAAGCACACAGCCGGCTTCTTCATGATCTCGCCTTCATCGAATGTTCTCAATTCGCGCTACACGTCACCGTTGGCCGTTACCTCCCTCTCTGGGGAGTGCGGAGGGATACCCGTAGTAGCTTTCTTTCGCAACGTAAGTGGGAACGGATATTCGTCCGCATCTTCCTCCTCACTGCGACTTCGCAAAAAGTTCTCGTCAGTGGCACAAAATTTCGAAAAGCGGCGGGAAAAAGGAAAAGATAGTAGGATGTCATGAAACTCACGGTAGCTTCCAGGCAATATAATCTTCCGTACTCAAACCCTCGCGACCCTCCTGCAACGACGCAAAGTCACCAGGGGTCATCATTCCCGTTCGATCGCGAGGAGAACCAGGTACAGAGAACGGGCGGGAAATCTTCTGCTCTGTTCCTCCGATGATATCGCTGAAGTCCTCCGCGGGGTCAAAGGAGGACGGATATGCTGGATGGTTAACTGGATTAGTTGTGATGATAATTTTGGTAGAGTCAGCTATGAAGTGCAGGTGTGTGCGTACCTCTTCGAAGCGCCAGCTGCCGCGCTTTGACATACTCCATACCCATCCTCTTCCAGTCGAGCAAATCACTTAGCCGCTCCGTCCGATTGCGCTGATTGATACGTTGCCGTCGGCTTTTGCACGCAAATTCAAACATAAAGTTCGTAAGCTGGTTCACGGATTCATCCACACCCTTCATGCGCCGGTCGACAATGTATATGCCGTAATCCGACGAGTTTTCTATGAGTTCCTCCATGTAACATCCGAATCCAGAGAGGTTGGTGGTTATGCTGGGTATCCCCATAACCGTGCACTCCGCAGGGGTGTACCCCCACGGCTCATAATAGGATGGGAAAACGCCTAGATTTGTCCCGCGGACAAAATCGTCGTAATCGAGGGGCAAAACTGGGTTTGATGAATTGAGAAATTCGGGGTGGAAAACCACCTTGACACGATCGGACGGGTGGTTGAAGAGTTGGACACGGCGTAGCTGGTTCAGCACTGGGTCTTCTGCGTCATTTATCATGTTATGTGTCACGATGGGTGGAAGCTGATGCCGCTTCATTGCGAATAGTCGACGGCGCAGGAGTACCCGGTCCTGGTTTGTGATTAAATCCTTTTCATCGGGCATATTGTCTCCTTCCTTCCAACTCAAACAACGCTCGAATAGCCGCTTTCCAATTCCCTGCTCAACCATTTCTAGTGTGTCGCGAAGAGATTTTACAACGGCTTGGCCTTTGAGGGCCTCAACTGTGAGCGACGATGTCTGTGCAGGCATGATAATGAATGCGACTACGGTAGTAGTTAAGCCAGATGTTTTGAGTTGATGATTCAGTCTCGCGAGAGATTCGATAAACATATCCACCCCCTTGTTCCGATACTCATAACGACCTGCAATGAAGAAGTATAGAGTATTATCGAGATCAAAGTCGTTATGTCCATAGAAATGGCCACGGACAAAGTCATTGATCTTGTCTTTGGCATGGGAATGAAGATTTTGGAACTCGTGAACTGCAGCAAACTTCTTCACGTTAAGTCCGTTGGGCAACACACCATCGGGCTTCCGTTTCAGAAGATGCTCGCTCTCGAACGCTGTGATGTGTGACACCGTTGTGAACACATCTGCCGAATGCGCAGCAGCGCGTTCAATGCAGTATCGGTGGTAGATCCCTCTTTTCCCGGCTTCAGCGTCAACGTCGAAGTATTGTAGGTTGTTGTAAAAATCGACAGATCCGGCGCACAGATATCTACCTAGGAGTGTTGCATGGGTCGTGAAAATGGTTGTGACGTCCATATGCCGCTTCTTGGTCAAGGGAAGGGCAATACCGGCTAGCCACTCGTGGAAATGCGCGACAACAGCTCGAGTTCTATCTCTGGAGATATACTTTGACATCCGTTAGCAGAACGCAAACAAACACTGCTTGGCTGCGGCTCAATAGGTAATTCGGGCGCTGCTGGTCGCTTAACTCACCTCACCAAGGAACCAAGCTACTAAATAGCCGAAAACGATAGCTTCATTCGACTCACTATCCTCCGCAGGAGACGGGATTCCGGCCGCATTCCAAAGATCACCCTTCCACTCGTCCAGGTATTTGTATCCCGCACCCGTGTCAATTAGGATTACTCTCGGCGCCCCCTCGATCAGCCACCGCCCATAGATCATATCAACGCCCCGTTCTTTCATAGAGGCAATCGTGGCGGCAATATGAGGATCGGTTGGGGTAAGTTCCTCGACTTCGACCTCGACCTAATGATATGTCAATGGTTCCCTTCATATAGACAAAATAGAGATACGGGAGCGAAGCGGGGATTCCAGTAAGAAAATAATATGTAGATACCGATGAGCGATTCAGAGGGCCGATGAGTGTGTATCTTTCGCCATACTCTGCAGTCGTAACCGGCGCCTTGGACTTTAGGACAGAGTATATTCCGCCAACTATAGGCAATACGGTCAGTCAAACATCCCATTTGGAACGCCAGGTCAAACCAAGCGAAAGGAATTACAAACCCCGGTTTGCAACTTCCGTTGCAATTTCAAATAGAACATGGTTCTTGATATCTCGTTTTGGAGTATGCGGGCTACTCATGTTGGTTGACATGAACATTCAATGTCGACAGGGAGCGGTGAAAAGGAAAAAAATACGATTTAGTTTGAAAATATATAGGCGGTATTAGCGCCAAATATATCGCACAACAAATCACAACTAGGCGAATTAAAATCGAGCTGGGCAACGGACGGGGTATATATATCTATATATTGCGACTGGTGTGTGCTGGGCACAAATGCGGCTCGGGGCGACTTTGGAGGGGAGGTTGCCAGGGTTTTTTTTGATCGAAGGGATACTAGAAGAATATCAAAGATCTGCAAATATGCTCAAGCTTCGCAGGTTACAGGATTATATTTTTAAAATGCGAGGGACAAGGAAACGGGACCGAATAGGCTGAACGGAACTTGGAAGAACTGGGTGAGGGGAAACTGCTGAGGTTTAAGTGCTTGGGCCAAGTCGAGTGCCATCAGCAAAACGGCGCGCCCAACCACTCACAACCAACCAGAAACATACAAGACCTGCTAATGATAACTATCTGCAGACAGAGAGTGGAAGAAAAGCTCGTGTGAAGCTGTGGAGGATATCGCGGTTGTTGCCACTCTGACAGTAAGTGCTCCAAAAAATGATAATCTTCTCGAGCTAAATTCTCCATTCAACATACCGACCGCATTGACGGTAGGTAAATTAACCATCCATCCTCCTCCACCTTGCAAAAGCACAATTATGACATCCTTGTTGGAGATAGGCTAATTGGTCTGCTCGCCGGGCGCTAGACAACATGTCTCAGGCAGGACAACCTTGGGAATGCCCCATCTCAGCTATATAAAGCACCGACATTTTGCCCTTCCCCTTCCAGCATCCCCCGAAGAGCCCATAAAACTCCTGTCAAGTGGCGGCGACAATAAATCAACAATCCACTGCTACGGAGTACTGCGCACCAAGTGGATAAATTTATACTTAAAAAGATGGCTCAACAGCACAACGACCTAGCCGTCAGTGGCAACAAGAGACCTTTATCTCTTGTTGTATCTCGATTCTACAGTGCGCACAACTCTGTAAATTATGTCGTTCTACATCGTTCTACATTGGTCTGATGAGGATGTGTATAGAGAGGGTGGGGTTTCTTGTAGTGTGTCATTATTATCAGCAGTGCCAGACCATCCCAGGGATCACTTTTGCAGGTTCCTCTCAAACAATCACGACAGTCCCGGGAGCAATAGCAGCACATTGAAAATATATATATATATATATATATATATATAATAAAAAATTAAAAAAAAAAAAAAAAAAAAAAACACTATAAGCCACCCACCTGCATAGCACGATTTTCACATGGAATCAAACTGCCAAACGTCCCTAAGACGGTTCCAAGAGACTGCCACCGATCGATCCCGAATCGTCTGATTTCCTCTATCGGCTCATCATATTGCAACCAATCTCGTCTCTGTGGTCTATTGCGGTCTTGGATCAGAGATCGCTGAAGTGTCCGGATTGGTGACCCAAAAGTGCTTGTACCTGTGCCGGGGACGAATCAAAGACGTCGCTCGTAGCATCCACAACAGGTTGGATGGAGAAATGATGTCATGCCTACTCCTGGCTCAGTTGGTCATTGGCTGCTTTTTTCCTCCGCAATCAGGTTTCATGCGATTTTGACAACTCAAAGGGTCGAGTCTATATGACGACATGGAAGCAACCATTGAAGATGCCAGCAATGGATTCCAATAATTGTTGGTCGTTGAACAACGTTGTAAAGAAGAAAATAATGCTTGACATTGAATGGGTTT